ATGAGAAGATAAGTTTATTTTCTATTTAAACATAAAAACATTTTAACAACAACTAAAGGTGACATAGATACTTTATTATGGTATAGTGTTTAAATATATCCCTGAGAAACACATAATATTGGTCCTTTAAGATAATATGAATCAGATCCTAAATGTACTCATATTTTTTGTGATATCTCATCTGCACCAGCCCATTTATGGCATTAGCGTACTCGCTGTGATCCATTCCACTGTGTGTTGAACCAGAGCAAATCACTTCCTGCCCCCCTTCTGACATTCACGCGTCATCTGGGTCATGTGACTGTAACCCAGCAATTCGACACAAATATTATTTTAACATCTCTGACTCGCCAAATTAATAAACTTATTTTATTTTCACTTGCATAGTTTTATCTTCAGCTGATTGTAATTTTAACTGTCTTGTTTTCATTGAAATTTTTTTACCAGCTTGTAGCCAAGACTTGATGTTTCTGTAGATACCAAACATGTCTATGTTTAACTAAAAGAACTTAGAGTAACTAAAGTAGAAAACCTGGGGTTTGAACTGAAGAGATGAATGAACCAACTGGCAGCCGAACTTTGGTCGCTTGCCAAATGTGGCCTGCGGGCCGTCAGTTSAGTCAACACTGTCTTTTAGCAAAATATTACATAAAACAGTGACCAAGGCTTAGTAAAATCATCAGAGCAATCACTGGTTGTACATTATTGAACAACTTGGACTCAACCTAATTTAAGATGGCTGCCACAGCCAGTTAGTCTGCCATTGCTAGAAAAATGGCTATAACTGTCATTTCTGCAGGTAATAAGCTAAAGTTTGGTGTGGTCGTAGCTGAGCATCAATCAGAATATTCTAACACATCATGTAGGATTTTGCAGTGTTGCATGAGGTGACGCTTAACATCAGTAAAACCTGAAATGGCTCCACCACTCCGTCACGTCGGGGTCAACAACTGAAAGATCAGTTTATGTGCAGGAGATGGAGTCACTCCTCAGACTTAAATATTTATTTATAGACATGCAAAAAGTTACCACCATTGATGTATATTACTGGATTGGGCGTCACGTGACCTGGGTGTGGCTTCGCAAGGGGGATTTTTCATGTATTGAGCTAATTCTAACACTAACCATTGCAATCAATGAGCAGAACGTAGCGCAGTGCAAACAAACACTTTATAAACGTATAAATGGTACAAATACTTTGCTAAAAACTACATATATTGTTACATGTTTACAAGAGATAAAAGGGTTATGTTTCACAGGTAAATATTACACATATTTAACCAAAATTAATTATTTTAATTGTAAAACCTATATGCTAACATTAAACAGCTTCAACATTCATGTTTAACCTTATTTAAAATGGATTTTATCTGTTGTCAAATATATTATTTACTGATATAAAACATGTAAAATATGGACTTTATTGGATTGTTGACCAGGTAGACTAC